GTGAAGAAGCGACAGGCACCGCTCTCGGAAAATTAATGTCGCATTATTTAATGCAGCAAGGAATTTCAAACTTGGACAGTATCTAGATGGTGTGACCGCTTGAGAATACAAGGTGATGGATGTGCGACTGTTGTTATAAATAACGGCACGGAATTGGAAATAGGAGAGACGTGTTTAAATTCTAGTCGGTTCCGTCATATACACTTTGGTGCAAATAAACTTGGGAAAGGTATGAATACATCTCTTCTTTCCTCCAGCTATGGATTAACTAGTCGGATTTGTATCAGTGAATCATTATTATCTCCAAAAAAATTCTAAAATATATATACTAGTTATAAATAACCACTAAAAGATCGATAATCCGTAAAAAAAGCAACAAATCAATCAAACCAGCCTTGCCTTTGTCACAATGATTCCGCCATGTTAATCTACAACATTCTCTGTCTTTATTTTCGATATGAAGTCTTCAAACTTTTTTCTTACCTCATATTACAAAGATTCATTCGATATACTCTTCTAACTTCATGTTTTTTTTAATCATTCCCCTCCATTCAATGTGGGGATGTCACTAGTACGCAGGGGCTTACATAAAGTGAAAGTGAAAGAGAAGCATAGAGAGAATTCAGGAAAGGGCAAAAGCTGAAAGGGATTCAAGAAGACAGAAGATTGCGATTGACGTTGCATTTAAATTTTAGAAGATTAGGGTTATCAGGGAAGCAATGAAATGAAGGGAGTTCCCCAGGTGGTAACTGCGATTGTACACAAAAGCTTTATTTTATTTTTGGTTTGTATATATATATATATATATATATATATATATATATATATATATATATAGTTATCCACAGACATCAATGTGGCTAGACGCCTGGCTAGCTAGGATCAAAACCCAACCCTGGTGTCAGTCGGAGATTCTACCACGAAGCCGTTGACGCACGACAGGGATGACGGCGAATTTAAGCGTATTTATTTTAGATAAACACGCAGTGACTGAGAGAACTCGATTCGATTTAACGAAGAATCTGATATATATATATATATATATATATATATATATATATATATATATATATATATATATATAATAACATTATCATGAAACGAAGAAGGAAATCACAATATTGATACATATTTTTAATCCTATCTAAGCTTCCGGCTTACAGAAGCCATTATCAAAGATGACAATTACATTACAATATATTAAGCAGTACACGGACAAGACATGCCGTGTTTGTTGCTCTTTTGAAATAACCAAATTAAAATTGAACACCCTTAACATTTTTGGCAGAACAGGGATTAGGAGAGACATCGGAAATATAAGAATGGGAGGGAAATTGTTGAGAGCCTTGATCGCCTTTGTGCTGAAGAAACACGGCAAGAAGAAGAAGAAGGGATATGAAATTTTAAGACCCACGATTCTGAAAAGATAGCGGCGCACAGAAGAAAAAAACACACAATTAAAAAGTATCGATACTATTGTTATGGTAACTGAGCTAAAATACTGGCATACGCACTAAGATATAACGTTCCCACGCTTGTTAATAGGAATGCTTGGAAGGAAAGTGTGTAGAGTGTGGTCGTCTCTCCACACCACAGATATTCCATCAGTGATCATGGTCGTGCAGCAGTCTTTGGCCAATCCTAACATTTTCCGGACCTGACAACTCACATATCCTCCAGATGTCGCTTCTTGCATCTTTTTCTTCTTTCTAAAAATCAAATTCCACTTCAAAGGAACGAGATTTCAAGACGTCGAAACAATCCAAGAGAACACGTCAAGGCTGTTGCTCGCTATAATAAAGACTGAGATCCAGGAATCTTTCGATTAATGGAAACAACGCTGTATAAATTGTGTGGCTTCACAAGGTGAATACTTTGAAGGAGATTAAATGCTTAATTGATATGTGTTGTAGTTTTCTTTTTATATCTTAAGTACCGATACTTTTTGATCTGTCCTCGTATTGCTTAAAAGTAATATAATTTAATATAATTTGAAATTATTATTTATCTTCTTTTATTTATAATATATATTATATTATATTTATTTTATATGTATATATGTCTTTATTATTGATATTTCTTTGTAATCTTTCCACAGTTGCCAGGTTTTTCTGTATTCATATTTATTTGTTTTTTTAAAATTAACCGGAAGATCGTTTGTCTTATTTTTATTTTCTGTTTTGCTTACTTAAAGTTATATTTATAAACTATGTTTTTCCTACTCTCATTTATTTAATGTTTTTATCAATTCATGGTTTAATGTTATTTCAGTCAAAACCTTATTAGAGACCATTTTTATTGCCTGTTATAAATAATGACTTCCTTACCTTCGAAGACTTTATAAATCCTAGTTTCTTTCTGCTACTTTTTCCCCAATTAACCAGCTTTCCGATATGTGTGTTTGATGGTTGATATACAACTAATTTGTTTTTTCATTTCTAGTGCTTTTTTATCTTATTATATATATATATATATATATATATATATATATATATATATA